CCGGGCCCCTGACGGGCGGCGCCGCCTCCCACCAGCGGTGTCCTGGCCGGGGCAGGATGGCGCCGGGGTCTTGTCACGGGGTTGGGGCACCTCGGAGCTGCGGTGGGGCAGGCCTCCCCAGCGGGCCTGCGGAAGCCTTTGGGACGGTAAAAAGATCTTAAGGCCTCCCTGTTCTATCCCCCTGCTCAGCCTTCAGCAGCTGCTGCGCTCCGGAGCCAGCCGCTGCCTGCCTCTACCTCCCAAGGGGCTGGATAGTCCCTTCCCCACGGCGCTCATCCCTGCGTTTCCCCATCGTTGGCGTTACTCCTGCCATTCCAACCGAGATCTCACCCTACGCTCAAGCTGCCCTGCAAAACAGCCCTATTAATATAGTTATGGGGCAACCTGGGGCTTTCTTACAGTCCAGATTTCACGTTTCGGGCAGGCTCCCCTTCCCTCCAGCGCCTGTGGGATGGAGACGGGGCTGGTGAAACCTTGGGTGGATTGAGGATGCTGCTGCCCGAGGCGGTGTCTGCCTGCCAGCGCCTGGACAGGGCAGCGCGAGGAAGGGATGAGCGGAGGTCAGCCCCACACAGGTGGGGAAGGTTTGGGGGTGTGGGGACAAAGGGGATGTTGGTGCTTGGCAGAGGATGGCTGCCTCTGCAAGGCCCTGGGTCTGCGAGCTGGGAGCGGAGCTGCCCCCCTGGGGCTGCGAGCTGGGAGCAGAGCTGCCCCGTGCCTGGCTCTGACACGTGCCTCCTCCTCGCCCCGTGGGCGCTGGGTGTTGCAGCGCTGGGGCCAGTTGCATGCGTTCATGATGCCCCACTGTCAGAGGGATGTGCTGAGCACCCCCAGGAGGAAATCCGAGCGTGGCTGCAAAGGGCGCAGGGGCTCTGGCCCCACACCCAGCGGGCTCGCAGGCGTGTGCTGGGCTATAGGTGACTGCAGGGGCTTGGGCAGGGTATGTCAACAGCCCAGCAGTAGGGCCTGAGCGGGGAGACAGGAAGTAAAGCTGTGACTTTTTATTTCTTTTGTGAACATAAGCTTTCGTTTTCCCCCTCCCGCAGCAGAAATAGACTTCGCGGATCCTTTGGCAGGCTGGGGACTGAGGGGTGATGGCGGGTGAGTACGACCAGCGGTGCTGGGACTTGGTGGTGGGATGGGGACCTGCCTGGGTCCTGCCCGGGTCCTGCTCGCCCTGGCCGGCCCGATGCACAGGGACACAGCGCAGCATGCAGGCTGGGGCCCGGGACACTGCATCCTTGAGTAGCTGGAGCCCTGTTCCTTGCAAATGTGTCCCCTGGGGCACTTTCTGTGGGTGTGTGGGAAAAGGGGGAGGTGGGCGATGGCAGGGGAAGCCCCCGGGGTGGGCAATGAAGCACCCTGGGTGGAGCAGCACCCTGGGTGGGCAATGGGGGAGGGGGAGCACCCAGGGTGGATGGTGGAGGAGGGATCAGCAGCTGGGGGGGGCAATAGGGAAGGTGGCAGCACCCAGGGGAGGTGATGGGGAAGGGGGAGCAGTTAGAGGGGTGATGGGGAAGGGATCAGCACCCAGGGGAGGCGATGGGGGTGGTGTGGCAGCAGGAGCCATGGCGTGGGGGCTCCGGGCGCTGACGAGGTCACCCTGCAGACAAGCTGCTCCTGAATGTGCGGACAGCCTTTGTGGAGCGTGTGAGCAAGCCGGTGATCTCTGGGCTGCTGGACGAGCTGCTGGCCCAAGGGGTGCTGAACCTCGAGGAGGTGGACGAGGTGCAAGATAGATACATGGTGCGCGCCGACAAGGCCCGCTGCCTCATCGACAGCGTGCGCCTGAAGGGCTCCAGGGCCAGCCGGCTCATCATCAACAGCCTCAGGAAGCGTGATGGCACCTTGGCTGAGCAGCTGGGTCTGACCGCTGAATCGGGTGAGAGATGCGGGGCCGTGGTCTGCCCTCGGCCATGCTGGGGCTCCCGGCACCTCCGGTGGGGTGCTGGAGTGGGGCCTGGCTCTGGTGAGTGTCCGAGGCCTGAAGGCAAGAGGCAGTTGGGCATCCCCCGTGTCACTGCTCTGTGGCACTGAATTCCCCTTGCCATGCAGCGACGGCAGGACTCTCAGGGGTGGCTGTCCCCCGTGGGGCTGAACAGGGACCCCCAAGGGGCAGAGCCCAGCTCCGTTTGTCTGTCCATGCCCTGCAACAGTCCCCTCTGGCTGCAGGCGCTTCCCAGTGCAACTGTGGGGCTTTCTGCTTGCAGGGTCCCCTGGTGTGCAGCTGGCCTCCCCCGACACCAAGGCCCCCACTGGGCCCCCCATCGGCATCGAGGGCCAGCAGTGGATCCAGCAGTGCTCTCTGAGCGAGTACCAGCGCATCAGGGACACGGAGGGAGACCAGGTGCTGTGGGCAGAGGAGATGAGAGGAGGGCTGGAGCATGACCTCGCTGCCCTGCTGGAGTGGGTGGGGGCTTGCCGAGGGGAGCCAGGGTCTTCGCTGACCCAGGAGCAGGGCAGGAGATGTGCGGAGATGTCCCAGGGACAGGGAGATGTGGTTGCTGCACCCATGGGCCTTCTCTGCTATTAGCTGCCTCCCAAGAAAAGCCCCCTGCACCCACCCACTGCTGAGCGCTGCCTCCCTCCATCCTCACAGATCTATCCCATCCATCTACCGTGGGAGACGCGAACCCGTAGGGCTCTGCTTATCTGCAACATTGAGTTTGAGCACTTGAGCCGGCGGGATGGGGCTGAAGTGGATGTGGAGGGGATGATGAAGCTGCTGGAAGGGCTGGGCTACGTGGTGGACGTCCATCGCAACTTAACTTCCCAGGTAAAGGACTGCACAAAGCAGCTGCCACCGGCCCCGGGAGTGGTGCAGAGACCCTCCTTGTGTGCGTTGCTGATGGGGGGCTCAGGCACCACAGGGACACCCCTGTCCCCAATGGCACTGGCTCCTGCCCGCAGCTGGAGGCTGGGTCTCCACACAGCTGGTCACAGGTGGCTGATGTTCCTTCCTGGTGCTGGTTTGTAGGGGATGGCTACGGTCATGAAGGATTTTGCGAATCACAAAGAGCACTGGACCTCTGACAGCACCTTCCTGGTCTTCATGTCCCATGGGGTCAGGGCTGGGCTCTGCGGGACCAAGAGCAAAGGCGAGACCACAGACATCCTTTCCGTCGACACCATCTATGAGAAATTCAACAACAAGTGCTGCCGGGCGCTGCTGGGCAAACCCAAAGTGGTCATTATCCAGTCCTGCCGTGGAGGTGAGTCCCCGCTACGAGGTGCCTACGAGGTGAGCGAGCCGGCCAGGCTCTCCCAGGGCATGTGAGCCCTGGGCATGAGGTGGGGACGGGACACCCCATCATTGCTGATGGCTGGCCCTGCCTTTCTAGGCAAGGTAGGGTCCGTGATGGTGAGCGACCCCGCAGACCCTGCCATGCCCACTCCCGGCTCGGCTCACGCGATCCCTGCAGGGCTGGAAGATGATGCAATCTGTGAAGTCCACCTGGAGAGTGATTTTGGCACTTTACATTCCTCCACGCCTGGTAAGCAGTCCCTGGAGACAGTTGCCCTGCCTGAGGGCAGGC